TAATAAATTCAAAAAGGTCTTATGATAAAAACTAGAAAATACCAAAGGAAAAAAATCATTTAGTATATAAATTTTATTTTTTTCGACAAAATGTTGTTCCATCACCTAATCTTAAAAAACTTATATCAACACGATTATCATTTTTAATTAGTTCATTTATTTGACGTATTGTTATAGTTTCAATTGATGTATCATTTTTATTTAATACACGTCCATTCCATAAAGTATTATCAATTACAATTAAACCATTTGAATGTATTAATTGAAGTGATAATTCATAATATTGAAGATAATTTTTTTTATCACCATCAATAAATATAAAATCAAATGAATTTTCACCATATTTTTCAAGTAAATTATGTAAAGTTTCTAATGCTGGACGAATTTGTAAATTAATTTTATTTCGTACACCAGCTTTTATCCATATATCTTGACGAACATATTCATCTGTTATATCACATGTTATTAATTCACCATCAGATGGAAGTGCTAAAGCAATAGTTAAGGATGTATAACCAGTAAATGTACCAATTTCAACTAGAAACAAAAAAAGAATTGAATAAAATTTTTGAAATAATCATTTTTTGCTTTTTTTAATACTTTTCATAGAATACATTCTTTTAATAAAGAATTATAAAAGTATGAACTATTTGTATACAACATTCCAAATAGGAATGTATACTTATCTATCATAAATCTTGCCACAAAAAAAATTCTTTTTAAAATAGTTTTTTAATTAACATTTGAATAATGTTTTTTTTTTTCATTAGACTAGATAAACAAAATATTCGAATTCTATCTTCATAATTATTTATACTTTTATATGAATTAAAGATAGATTTTTATGCATATTTTGTTGTTTCGGGGATGTATGTGAGAATGAAAAGAACATAAAATATTTTACTTGCTCGTTTGCTATTCATAAGTCGAATAAGTATTTGAAAAAATTGTGCTTCATCTGTTGATCCTAACCATGGTTGAATTTTTTCTTTAGTATGAAAAAAAAAACATCTTGATAACATTTTATTTTAATAAAAAAAGAATTCTTTGTACCTGGTAAATTTTTAATATCTTCTAAAAGTTCAAGTTGTTCAGATGTATAACGAAGTGAATGATTGAAAATATATTGATCAATAGGATCTTTTGAATGTAAAGATTTAGTTGATAATAAATTATCGAAAATTTTCGACATTGTAAATTATTAGAAATATTGAATAAAAGTAATAAATATTGAATTCTATACATTTATATACTTAATATGAAAAAGAATAATTTTGTTCTTTGATAATAGATGTAAAATCAATGAAATATATAATTATTATTTAATAATTTTTTTGATCTATTATATTCGAAATCATGACTGAATAATTGTATATATAAAAATATATGTACTTTTTTTCTTTTTTTACCTGAATTTATCATGATCTTTTGTTTATTGAAAATAACATCTATGTCATTGGTAAAAATATCCTAACCAATCATATAAAATATTATCAAACTTAATTAGAACTTTAAATAGAATTTTATTCAGATTTAATGTTAGAATATTTCAAAATATTTTGAATTCGAAGAAAAGATAAATGAAATATAAAAAGACTATTACACATATATTGAACATTAAGAATATTTTTTTAAAAATTTTTTGAATATTTTATCAGTTATTTTTTTTGTATAGAGAAGACAATTGATCTTACTTGAAATGATTTTATATTACAGTATTATTTTAGCGGATCTCCCTTAATAGAATATCAAATAAGACAACGATGAGCAGTAATTAAAGCTTAACATAACTATCTATATTTGTACAGCTAAATGCTTATTCGATTTTGTAATGGTACATTTGAGGGGTATCTTACCACCTCCTTCGGTAATAATGTTTATTGAGCTGCTTCATATATAACATACGCTTATATAGAAGAAAGGTAAGTACAAAAAGCAATAGAGAAATGGAAGATTAACAGGAGGTATTATCAATATTAGTACAGATTTTCTTTTAATATAAGATATATCATTCGATTTCTAGCGCCATCTTATTATTTAGAATAGAATATATCGATCAAAAAAAAAAGAATACAAATTCATATTAAAGTTAATATAAGAATAATGTATAAATAATTCTATACGATTGTCAAAAATAAATTTAAGAAAAAATTTTTTTGATTGGTTTTTCATATGACTTTGAAAGCCACGTACTACCTCCAATGACTTTGAGTAGTGATTATTGTGTATATTATTATTATTCATTGTCACATCTGATGCCTTTCATCCTTATTTAAAATATTATCTAGGATAAACACATCAATAGTGTTCATAAAATGAATATCTTTCGTTTATTAGGCGACTTTTCTCATTTAGCAGCTATTATTATTTTATTACTTAAGATCTGGACAACACGTTCATGTGCTGGTACGCAATATGTTTTTTTCTTTTTTTTTTTGAATGTCAATATGACTTGTTTTCTTATATATTTAATATAGGTGTATCTGGTAAAAGTGTTTTACTTTATGATCTTGTATTCATATGTCGTTATTTGGATTTATTTATACATTATGTTAGTATTTATAATACAATAATGAAAGTAATTTATCTTGTTTCAACAACATTTACACTTTATTTAATTTATATTAAATTTAAAACAACATATGATCGTAATCATGATTCATTTCGTATTGAATTATTAATATTACCAACACTTGCACTTGCATTTGTATGGAATAATGATTTTTCAGTATTTGAAGTAAGATAATTATTGAAAAATATGAATTTTATTTTATTTTTTGTTTTTTTAAGATTCTTTGGACATTTTCAATTTATCTTGAATCTGTTGCTATACTTCCTCAATTATATATGGTTAGTAAAACAGGTGAAGCTGAAACAATAACAAGTCATTATTTATTTGCATTGGGTATATATCGATTTTTATATATTCTGAATTGGATTTATCGTTATTATATGGAAGATCATCTTGATTGGATTTCTATTGTATCTGGTATTGTTCAAACAGTTCTTTATTGTGATTTTTTTTATCTTTATATAACAAGAGGTAGGAACAAAAGAAGATTTTTTTTTTTCTATATCATAAATAGTATTATTTTCTTTTTTTTTAAGTTCTTCGTGGAAGAAAAATGCGTTTAAGAGAAAATATTTAAACAAGACAAAAAATACCGAAGACTTATAAAAATAATAATTGATTTTCCTTTTCTTTTTTGTTCTAGTCTTAAAAAAGAAGCAAAGTTGTTGTTTTTTTTTCTTTTAATTTGCATTAGCATATCTGAACTAGACGATTTCTTAACCAAATATGGTTATTTGTTTTTGTGTCTTGTTTCTTTTATCTTAATATTGTTATTATTTTGTTTTTTGAAAGACAAATTTAATCGGGCCTTTGTTATTTTATGTTTAAAGATAGTTAGTTGTTTTCATTTATTGTTTTTTTGTGTGTATGTGCTAATCTTCTGACTTTATTTATTCATCTCTTGCATATTTCTCACTTTCTTTGTTTTAGTTAGAAATATTAAAGTTAAAAAAAAAGTAACATTATTTAGATATGTTTTGATGAAATCAAATTTTGAATTTATTCGGGAGATATTGAACTATGAGTTCTTGTTTTTTTTTTGCATAGTATGGTTATGTTTGATAAACAAAAAAATTTCATTCATACTAATAAATGTTATTCAAGCAAGTAATAGATTTTATTCAATATTCATAGAAAAAAAAAACGTTTTTATAAATTTTTTGGTTTTTTTTTATTATTGTTTTATGGTAATTTTTGATAGCGAATATCAAGTATAGATAAGCAAGTCAAGCTTAATTATATTTTATAATGTGAATAAATCTGAAGAGTAAAGATCATAGAGAGATTTCTTTTTATTACTAAGAATGAATTTCAAGTAAAATCTTTCAATGTGAGCAACTCATTACATTGGACAATCTATAGTTCGTCCAAGTGAAATTTATTAGAAATGAGTTTCTCAAATATAAGCGCCCCTTTATTCTGAACAATGTGTGCTTACTTCTAGTTCTACGACGAAACACTATGAGTGCCATATGTTCTATCATTCACAGGTCGAGTGCGAAAACAATGGTGTTATATATATTGCATTGTGATAGGCAATCATGAAATCCATTATAAAAATTGAAATTAACCCTGACACGCATACCCAGGGTTCGTCTGGACCCCAACCAGTTTTATTTAAGTGTCATTCACACACAACATCAGATAAAATCCCCCTTCTCTAGATGTGCTCTAGTGAAGATTTGTACTATACGTAGCTGACGGCAGCCGTTCGTCACAATTAGTTGTTTATATGATAAACTACCTGGAAGTATGTGTGAACGTTTGTTGTCTAGTGAAATTCTGTTTAATTTATTTTAATTGCAGCCTTAAATAGGATCTTATTCTTTCACGTACACTTTAGGGACACCTAGTAGAGTACACTGATGACAATAATAAATTAGACCGATGCTGTAAAAATGAGCGTTACTTCAGGAACAATGAGCTTTCAGTGACAATACATGTTGCCGAAATAATGCTACAAAAAAGAGCAACGTAAAAAATATTAAAAAAATGCTATTAAAATTAACTGCTGTTTTGTTTGTTCTTCTTAGACATAAGTCTTCTTCAGAACCATTATAGTTCTATTACAAAACAATGATAATATAGTATATTGTTTTCATTTTATCAGGCTGGGGTCCGTACGGACTCCAGGTGGTCAACAAGTGATAGCCTGAAAGGTTGTCGTGTCAGGGTTAAAAAAAAACGCTATTAGACAACGACAACAGTTCTCGGTATAAAATTTCGTCGTTTTTCTTTGTTAATAACTAATAATATCAAATCATTTCAATAAGAGTTGGCTGAGTTGATAGATCAATAATTGAACTTGAAATAGTGAACAGATTAAAGAAATACAAAAAGATAATTTTATTTGAATAAGTTCTTATTGCCATCAAAAATTGAACAGTACCATTATGTGTTTTAAGTATCATGTTGTTTCATTTTTTCAGTGTCGTAAATTTGACATGAATTACAGAATAAAAAAACGACTGAAAGTAGCTAAAATTTTCAATGAAAACTTGATTTGCTTTATAGCGTTGAGAGAGATCCTTCTAATTTTAATATCGCGTACAATTCACATTTCCTAGTTATATGTACTGTTAATAACAAAAGAATTTGCCTCAATTCTGTACGAGAGTTAATGATTTTTTGATATCTCTGCAAGGTAATGTTCAATCGTCTTGTAAATTGAAGAGTGTGGATGTGATTACGCTAACTATTCATGCTCATACCCACATATTCATACCCGTCTTGGCTACTGTATCAAGTTCAAACTTTATTTAATGTTCATTTGCAATTATGGTCTTCAATTAATTTTTTCAAATATATGTTTGTTGGGTGTATCGTATTTGTATTTTGCAAGATTTATTTTTATAACAAAAGGAGCTTTATAATTGAAAAATTTTCGTTGATATAAATTTAGCAATAGCTTTTCATCCTTTAAGTAGGATACTGTTTAATTATAATGCTGGAATTTCAAATTCTGTAATTAATAACAGAGGGAAAGTTCGTTTACCTTGAACAGTTAGAAACTTATCGATCATCAATCAAGGAATATTTTTGTGACTGACGCCCAAAAAATACCCGTGTCCTCTCATTTGCGAACATAAAATAGAAATTAAAAATCTCTTAAATTAAATTTCAGTTGATTTTTAAATTTAATTTATTCAAATTTAAAACAATCTTAGGTCTCAAAATTTTCGGTTTTCAAATTTCAAAAAAATTTACTGATAACAATTTTGAAAACAATTTAAAATTTCAATTATATTTTTAAACTTGTTGAAATTTATAGAGTTCGCTAAAGATTGAGTTTCATTATTTCAATTTAATGAGCTGTAATTTGTAGAGTGAGCTAAAATATAGTAGTGCCTTTTTTACTCATAATTAACTGAGTTCGTCAGACATAATTGTTACTATTAATGTCATCAGCTGTTTTTGATTTTGAACAGACTATATAATTATGATAGTAAAATGGAATCGAACATTAAAAGGAGATCACTGATTTGGGTGCAAAAGCATTTATAGACAAAAATCATAAATACAAAAAATGATGTTCTAAAAAAGACGGCTCAGAAATATAGATGTTAATGAGCGTCTTCTCCTGAAGAACACAGTTCGATTCGTTCACACCACAGTCAGAACAAATATCAAATTATCACAACAAGTTATGATACAATCTCCTTAAAAACTCGCTTTGCTTGAACTGAAATCGTTCTTAGTTCAGCCAAAATCGACGACCCTTGCTTGTGCACTATGAGTATTAGTTTATCAATAACAAAAGAAAAAAAACTGCTAGTACATTCTATTTTTGACTTCCATTTAAATTCTTCGAAGCTAGATTCAAAGAAAACTTTTAATTCAACAAAAACCTAACGCCCTCTAAAAATTACAGCAATGACACTAAATTTAAAAAATTTCTCTGATCAAAAACTTACGTCCTCTACAAATTGCTATAAATATCAAAAACTCTCTGTTATCAGAAACTTACGTCCTCTACAAATTGCAGCATGCTTCGTAAAAAAAATAAATTTTTATAAAAATCTTTTAAAACAATTTACTTTCAATATTCGTTCCAAGTAATCGAGTTTATAAAAGTTAAACGCCTAAACAGAAATATTCCTTCTAACACAATATTTTCGAAACTTTCGCTAGACTAGAAAAAATTCCTTAGAACGAGCGCTTGTGGATCAAAATAGATTCTGGACTTTAACTTCCGACCATACCAATATACTTTTCATTCATTTTCTTTTAGGTCATGTTTCTATTTGTTTCATTCAGTGATATACTTTATCTTTTTCCTATATTGATGCTCTGATGTGATTCATTCATTTACATATCGTGTTTCGTTATGATACAGTTACCTGTGAGACTTATTACAACACTGTGATTATTTCGATTTTACATTTTACTTTCAGAGATGTGTAATTAATAAAAATGTATATTGGTGTATCCTGGATTAATTTAATATAAAACTGGAATATTAGAAATACAATTGCCATCAATACAATATAAGCTTTTATACATGATTTAAGATTAGCCAAGCATTAACGCCTACTCTCTGCATGCTGAAATCTCGTGTCCTAATCGTATTTAGTATTCTAGTTCGCCAGTTTTTTTCTCTTTTTTGCCTCCTCAACTTTGTTTTTTTATTTGTTCGCTTTATGTCTCTTATCAACGATACAGACATGTGCACGATGATGCAATTTCGCTGTTCTTTTGGCTTGGTAAGGAAGTAGGAATATAAAAATTTCTCGTGCAATCAATCAACCAATATGTGACTATAGTAACAACTTTCCGTTATTCGCAAGGTGTATATACTGATATTTCGTAAACAATAGCAGTACCTTTCCTCAATTGGATGCTCAAAATCATCGAAATGTCGTTTTCTTCGTCATTAATATTGTATCATTTATTTTAGATTATTTAACCGTAATACACTTCGGCAAATCTTTAGTAGAAATACTAGACTTACATAACTCTCAATTACGTTGTGTGCATTTTCTCAATTCGACCGTGCACGTTGTTCGAGGTATTATCTATAGTTACTTCTTCAATTCAAGAAACTATGAGTGAAACACCCAATAATATAAACAATGAGAAGAAAAAATTCAAAATCCGTCAATTTTTTGTAAGTATTATCCAACATTGCTTGATTTCTTTCAATAATAATATTGATATTTTGCACATTCGTTATTCAGATTTTTTCACATATTTCTTTGTCAATATTTAAAGAAAAAATTGCTTTGATTAATGAAAGAAAAAATACGTATGTTTAATTTGCAAACATAAATTGTTATGAAATGAACACTCCCAATAAAAGCATGTGACCATCAACATCATCACGAATAAAAAGAACTATAGAACGAATAGATTTCATAGAAAAAAAAGCTATACTTGAAAACTATTGTGTGAAATATGAGACGAGTCAATAGTGAAGTGCTCGATCGTAAATCCTGACGTTCGCTCTGCTGAAAATTATATTAGAAAATTAGCAGAAATTTAGAACACAAGTAGATGAAAATGAACTAGGACATTGTATTGCATTCCACCGAACTTTTGGTGAATCGTAGAATTCTAGTACATGTAAAAAGACGTAGA